TATTTTCAACAATCTCAAAATAAACACTCAAAACACAAAAAATCCAAATGAATTCAAAATTCAAAACACAAAATTGAAATACAAAGAGAACATCTCCTTATTTTTTCAGTTATACATTCTCTCGTAAAGTAATTTTATACGTAAATCGATAATTTTTTTCTTCTTTTCAAATTATATATTTTTCAAAAAATTATTATTTCAAAATATTTTTTTTTTTTTGCAAAAATAAGGCTCAAACATGAGTGAAGTGTTATAGTAACATAAACTCTCAGATATTTTATCATTTTCCGAACCGAGAACATACACCAGCACAAGAGAAAATAAAAATTACTAGATGACCATAAGAAAACGTAGAATTCGAATGACGGAATTTACTAGTTCTTTCACCCTTTTCGTCTTAAAATTATTTTATATTCATCAATTTTACTCGCAAAACATTATAAATTTTTAATATTTGACCAGAAGGATCATTCACTTGCACGACACAAAATCCACAGTCTTATGTTCCTGCGTGCGGACGTCGTATAGTGGATTCACAGGTGCGTACCGTATTCTCCAAATTTTTATTTATTTTATTTTGCCCACTGGAAAATGTAAAGGGTCAAATGGCCAATACTTGGCGCCACGTAATCCCGTGTCCTTTTCTGCAGGGCAGAATTCGTATTCACCGCGTTTCAGTGGATAGAATTTTGTTGACCAAAAAAAGTCATCGTTAATATCATAATTATCAGGGTTAATTACACACTAGGGTCCTCAAACTATTCTTTTTAAAACAATTCAACCCCATTCAATTTTTATATTACCTACAATCCCCCCCTTTCATTAATTCGCGCTAATGGTCCTTCAGACAATTTCCATCCAAATGCTCCATTAACCCTTGTTTTGTAGAATTAAAATCCAATTTTTAATCTAAGTCAAAGTCAAAGTCAAAAATTAATTTTAACAACATATTTTATGAGACATGCAATTTTTTAACCATATATTTCATCAATTTTTATTAAAATCTATTAAAAATATGATTTTATTCCCCACCAAAATAGGCTTAATATGAATGAGAATTTTTTTTTTTACCCCCACACTTTTAAGTTCTTGTGAGAAAGTGATTATTTAAAAAATATTTTTCTCTCGCATTCATTTACAATTACATGTTTTTTTTTAACAAATATTCCATATTATAAAATAAGAGTAATACTATTTGGCACCACATGCAACCTCTTTTAGGCAACCAACAATGTTGCCACTACCTCCGACTACATAAACATTACCAATTTGAAGGGATGCAAATTCTAATTTTCATAAGTAGATCGTGAAAATTGTAACAAGGAGAGTACTCCAACTATGATAGAATGAGAAAAGAAGAAACTCCATTATATATCAAGATTCGGGCCTATACGTAGTGATGTGAACTCCAAAAATCACATCACATATGTAACGAAAGACTCTTTTCTACCTTCTTCGTTAATAACTTTATAATTCCCCGTTTGTTTCCCATTGTTTTAACCTAAAAATGGATTTTTTTAACCCTTTTTTTTCAAAGCATTGAGGCCCACTATGAGAGAAAGAGGTCAAAGATTGCGGCTCTTTTTACTGTAGCAACGGTAAGAATTTTTATTTTCAGTGGAAACAAACAGGGGCTAACTATAGAATATGAAATGTTAGTACTAGGCCGAATTTGGTACATTTATCTATTATGAAAAACATGGACAACCCTCTCGGTTTCATGACATGGTCAAGTACCAATTGGATTTACTCCACATTGAATGTATTCTCAGCTCGTTCAATTTGTGGCTTCGATAAATCATGGAGCCCCCCCTCCCCTTGTCGGACAATCTTCTAAATTGTCTATAACTTGTCCGACTCTCGGTGAAGGAAAACGTTTATTTGGACATTAAGCCCTTGTTTGGTAGAAATTAAAATCATATTTTAGTTTAAGTCAAAATCAACAATTAATTCTAACACTATATCTCCTAAGATCTACACTTTTTCAACCACACATTTCATCATTTTTTATAAAAAAAATTTGATTTTAATCCCTACCAAATAGGGACTAAAATGTTTATGCAATAGACACGTGATGTGTGATTAAAAGGATAAATGTCTAAAATTTATTTCAAAATAAAATGGTGCCTAATCAACTTACAATACATGTTGGCTATTTTTTGTATTATTTTATCATTTCAGTCTAGTACGCGTGGTTATTTAACGTGCATTACATGTTTTCCTTTCGGTTGGGATATCACGTACACAATGTTAAAAGGCAGGGCTATTGGTGCTATAAATGAAAGTAACTGCCACACTCATGAAAGGTTAGGGACCGAATTAAAATAATATAATACTACTTAAATACCTAAAGTACGGTTTAATATTTGATTAACTCACTAACAGTTAGTGGCTATTGTTTGTTCTTATCCATCATATGTGTGCACTGCCGTTTGGGTCCCACACATTTCTTTTTCCAAAATTTTATTCAAATGGGTCCCCAGTTTGGGTTTCTAATTGGCCTATATATCCATAACAATGTGAGTAGACGATATATCCAAAAATCACTTGCGCATTTCAGCTGCTAACTCAAGTACCCGATCAACCCTCATAAATTTCCTCCCAATCTCACTAGAAAATTTTCACTCTTTTCCATCAATCCTGAAGAGATCTGCGGATAGGTATTTCAATTTTACGTTCTTGTTTATTTACTAGGAATTTTGACGTTTTCTTTTGATTTTCTTTTTCTGGTTGGCTGTGATTTATTTGAAGTAGTGAAGTGCGTATAATTTGGCAATGGAGTTTTGGGGGGAGCTATTCTAGGGTTTTGTTTTGTATTCGGAGAATCATAAGGGAAATTATGAATCTCACGAAGGAGAAGCAATTCATTCGTTTGGTTAAATTACAATTTATCTATACGTTGATTGTAATTTAGGACTTAGCAAAATTAAGGAACTCATATTTACGTTCTTTCTCCTTATAATCCTCGCCAAACACGCCCCTTGACTTTAAGGGCAGCTTTTGGGAACTGGTGGGGTAGTTTATGTGTTACAACTTGCACATTTCTGATTTACCAAGCAAAAAAGAAGGGAAAATTTGATTGCTCTCTCCTTAAATGAATATGGTGGATCAATTACATTGCTGGTAGAAAAAAGATTTAAACGTGGTTGATATGATATTAATTGTTATTTCTTCATCTTTTATTTAGTTGTGCTGTGAAGACCTTAAAATGAGGACTAATGGAAGATCTGAGGCAGATTTGATCAGCAATCTGCCTTGTAGTATCATAGAGAACATTCTTGGATGCTTGCCCCTGCGAGATGCCGTAAGAACGAGCATTTTGTCAAGAGAATGGAGGTACAAGTGGATAACATGTCCAGAACTCGTTTTCGATTTCTGGTTTGATCAAATGTTCCTAGGAAACCACAAACTCGAGATGATTATATACCAAATTCTTAGACTTCATCAAGGACCCCTGCTTAAATTTGCCCTCCAAGTCCCTGATTTTCGAAGTTGTCCCGATATTGATCAATGGATTGATCACCTACCAAATAACAATATCCAGGATTTCACTCTTCATATATCTAGGGGGGACAAGCATGTATTACCTTCTTGTCTATTCGCTTTCCAGCAGTTAAGGAATTTGAAACTCTACAAATGTGCATTCAATCCCCCTCCCGGGTTCAAAGGATTCAGTAAGCTTGTGAACGTCGATCTTCAGAATGTTGAACTTGATCCCGTAACATTTGCAAAATTTATTGCTCTTTGCCCCAATCTTGAAAGATTGAGATTAATGGATTGCACCGGTTTTGATTGCCTCGAAATCAATGCTTCCAAATTGAAATTTCTCGAGTTCCATGGGGTATTTAAATCCGTCTCTTTCAAGAACTGCTCCAGCCTCGCTGAAGTTAAATTATCTTTCTCTTCCATGGATTTCAAAACTGGAAACCGCTTTTCGTTTGATTTGATCAAATCTCTAAGCTGTCTGCCTGCGCTCGAGGAACTGCATCTGCAGGCTTATGTGTTGGAGGTAAGAAATTGCAATTTCCGAGTAATCTTTTGAAATTGAAAATGCCCTTTTCCTTGTGTTAATTTCTCTATCTGTAACTAAATTTAGTCTTACGGTGCATTTTCAGGACCTCACAGAATTTGGTGCACCTAAGAAACTTCCAGTGGCTTTGAAGACCCTGAAAACTCTTCACCTGTCTGACATGTATTTTGAAAAGATTGAAGAAATCTCATGTGCCATTTGCTTGATCAGAAGCTCTCCCACTTTACAAAAGCTTAAAATTACAGTAAGTCATTATCATCTACTTATTGTTCTTTAGCAATCAATCTTCCTTGTAGTCAAACCAAACTAATGTAATTGCACCGTTTTCAGGCTTTTACTTTCGACGTGGTGGAAGCTGTTGCAGAATTTCTCCGAGGACAAAAAATTTCAGACGGATCTTTGGCTCAGCTCAAAACAGTGGATATGCAACTCTTTTCAGGGATAGAGTCTGAAATGGAGTTTGTTAAGTATCTATTGGCATCTGCCACTGCACTCGAGGAAATGGCAATCACGCCTCATGCTGGAAGCGTTTCTGATGGAGGAGAATCAATATTGAATGAACTTAAACAATTTCCTAGAGCATCACCAAAAGCAGAGATCATTAATTCTGAAAAGAAGGCCTGGTAATTTGCCATGTTCTTCAAGGTCTATTATTAATCCGTGTTGTAATTAGTGTACTTTAGATCGGTAGACAACCCTAAGTTTATGAGGAAACACGGGTTACTTTGTTGTTTGTTTCAAGCTTAGGTTCTGTATCTGGTTGCTGGCTATTTTTTGGACCTGCACAAGTAGGATGTCTGTAGCAGATACATCTTTTAAGCTCATAGCCATGTTTTCATGTGGCTATTTGGTATCATTTGAAGTCATTGTAAATTTATAACCCGAAGCTCGGGTTCTCCTTTGATCCGGAATTCAAGATGGCTCTGTATTTTTTGGAGAACAGTCTGTGTATTCACTTGTAGTTCGGATTCATTTTGGATCGAATGATTTGAACAGATGAATCAATACCAAACAACTGATGTTCTTTTATCAATACAAGTATTTTTGCATTGTTATGGATCTTGAATCCTTGATCTCACTCATCCACTCTGCAGTATATATAACTGTGGGGTTATGACACTGATTCGCAAACTCTGTAAAGAAGGGCTGGGTTTCAGGGCCCAAACAAAGAAGACAATATTCTGTTATCAAGAGAACACCTTGTTAATAATCATTATCGTTCATTTCCAATATGAACAAACATTTGGAAGGATAGAACTAAGGTTTCTGATTGATGAAACGATATAGTCATAACTATCGGCTCTCTATAAGTACAATAAATTCTTTTGGAAATCTGAGTAAACATGAGCAAGGATAGAATCTGATATCGCATCCTTTGGTCGTAGTATGAATATACATTTGGAATAATAGAATAAGGGGTTTCCGATTGAAGAAACGATACTGTAACTATTGGAAGTAACATCAGTTGTTTGAGAAATACAAAAATTATGGTAGTGGAGAGTCCGTCGGTGACTGAATATTCAACGTGTTTTTGAGCGATTATCTTCATTGCGTATCAATTCTCCTTTGCGAGAAGTCAAAAAAAAAAAAAAAAAAAAATTCTACTGCTCTCGAAATATGGAGTACACGTTACCTTTTATCATTATCGAATCAATCCTGCTACGTGTACAGGGCCAATGGGGCACCGTACAACCATTATAATCCTTATTGAATTGGCATATGTACTAAATATGTAGGATTTACTATTTAACTGAGGGCCAGACATAGATAAATGATTCACGCGTCAATTCAACAACGGCACTGAATTACATACTCCCGAGAGCACTGGAAATCTTCTCTTGGGGGAAGAAGTTGAACAATCTTGGGGGGCCTAATACTGGAGTAATGTTATTCATCCTCACTAGGTTTTCATCTCCAGTGGGGATGAATAGCATTACTCCTAATACTGAGGTTCTCTCGGTCAATGTGAACTTATTTTACAAGGAAAATGAGGTAATTAAGCCCCTATTTGGGCCACATTATTTTTTTCATTCTCATTCTTCTACTTATTTTCAACCACACATTCTTCGATAAAATAATATTTTTCATCACATTAATAACTCTTCCTTCTTTTTCAACTACATATTCTCCATTACACCACTTCAAAAAAATGCATTATTTCATTTTAATGTGTGCCAAACGGGCTCTAAGGCTAGATATATAGGGCGTATTTGATGGATATTATTGAGAAAAGAATGTATTTTAAATAGTAATATGATGAGAAATATGTGGTTAAAAAGTAAAGAAAAATTATTGATGTGATAAAAATATTATTTTATTGAAAAATATGTGGTTGGAAATGAGTTTTGAAATAATGTATTTTTTAAAAATGTGTCAAACTGGGGCTTAACTCCCGTTTGATGCACATTTTGGGGGTCAAGAATGCATTTTTTTTTGAAAAAGAAGGAAAAATTATTGATGTGATAAAAAATATTATTTTATTAAAAATGTATGGTTGAAAATGTGTAGAATAATGAGAATGAAAAAAATAATGTGTTTCAGAGCATAAAATAATTCCAAACAGCCAAATACCCTAAAATATATTTGGAATCCAGTATTTGTCAGACATCATTTTCCTTGCAAGAATTTGGTATCAAGCCTAATTCCACTTGTTTTCATTTAGCAAATGAAGAAAATCTTTGTTGGGTAAGTTTCATTTACAGTAACTATATTTTGCTCCCGTTTGATCTACATTATTATCTCATTAAAAAAATGAAAAATATAACTGTTATCCATCATATCAATATTTAAATTCAAATTTTATATATCTTGTGTGGGCTCCAATAACGGCTATATTTTTCATTTTCATTCTATAATAATTTGATTCAAACAAGGCCAAAATCTAGTTTCAATCAGGTAACTGTAATTAAGTTTTGTTCAATTGGGAAATGTACTTTAATTTAATTTTAATTGAGCAACTACATTTTAATTTGATTTTAATTAAGATAACTCTGTCCAATTTAACGGGCAAAAATCGATGATGTGACAATTAATAATGACGATAATTATATGCGGCTCTAAGTTGATGACATATAACAAGTGCAACTTGATTTAAATAAATGACAAATCATTATTTGTGGACAACATTACCGATTTTCATTTGACGCAATTGGACAAAATTACTCGATTGAAATCAAATTAAAGTGCAGTTATTCTATTTTTTTTCCTTGAAAATCAACATTTTCCCACATAGATAAATCTTTCCCCTATTTAATTCTAGTATCCCATATCAAATTAAAAAAAATATATATTTTTTTAATCAAAACAATTAGCTAGCTTATTTAACTTTAGTCAACAAAAAAAAGTTACTTATTCACTTACAAGTTAACCCTTGAGTAAAGATATTCAGCCAAACACGCATACATAAGCTATGGATTTGTGGATAATGACATCAGAATTAGAGCATCCAAGGGTGGTGGTTGCAGTGGAGTAGGAAAATAGTATACTTTGAACGTCACTTATAACCTCAGACTTGTAACAACTCCTAAATATTATTACTTTAATAAGTTATATGCAGCTATCATAAATAACAGACACAAAAAACAAGTGAGAAATTGTGGCTGTTGTCACCCTGTGGTTTTTGGTCACTCATCAAACCCTACATGGCCCGCCTTGAGTGGGTCCCACTTTGTTCAAATTATCATAGGAGATTAATGATATGATTCATTTTTATCATAGGAGATTAATGATATGATCAATTTGATTGTGACAATTGTTTTTGTGCTAATAATATCTTGAGACGGTCATTTTATAAAGGTTGAACCCCAATCTTGAGGGCCCCCCACCGACCCTGCCCTGAGCCATTGTCGAGGAGGTAAATCGCAGGATGTGCCTCCCAAGAGCCAGGGTGGAGAGTTTATGGATAGGCCTTGAGCTTTTAACCCTATGGTAACTCCCGCTTGCAACA